AATCTGATTGGTCGGGAATGCGCAGGCCAGGTGACGGCTGCGTTTCCGACTTTGGATGGGGGATTACGCCGGCTTGGCGCTGTACTGCCAAGTGCAAAGGGTGCAGAGCATGACAGAACTATGTAAGGGAAGAAAGAACTCGAAGGAACTGCCGATGGAAGAGCTGATCAGTAGTAGGAAGGGAAACTCCGGGGCTTTTTGAGCATTAGCCTAGAGCAGAACGCAGTCCAAATTTGTCCCGGGACAATACGACCAAAACTTAAATTGAGCCTGCTAATAAACAAAATGCCAAATCGAATGAATGGATGTTGACATCCAACGGAAAAAATATCCTCCCTAAGGTTTATCATTCAAGGGATTGTCCTTAGTTAGGAGATGCAGCTATGTGTCAATGAAACTTACACAAGTTGACCAAAGTAGCTCTTAAACTGCTGTGATTCGTAACCCTCAACTTCGCGGTGTTGGATAGCAGCATCATCAAGGTAGGTGTCCAGCTCCACTGTTTTGTAGGCGGCCGTTCCATATTCGTCCTAGGAACGAAAGATGTTTGCTTGGTTTAGTCGATAATTGGCGGTGCAGTTAAGAGAAGAAAAAAACTTAATGGCTCAATCATGACCCACATAAAATGCACGTAAAATTACTTTACTTTTTCCTAGATTAAGGTGTCAGTGAGACAAGTAAACCCCAGCCAAAGCTAACAACGTCAGTCTTCAAAGGATTATATTGACAAGAAGACTATCATCTTGAATTGTGATATTATGCAAGTTTGTACGTATAAGCGTTAATGTGATTCATCTTCTTACCGCTGTGCTGTGTTTTCCAATCCAAAAATGAATATCATACTTCAATTTGTCTTGCCCAGGGAGTTTTGTTCCTTTGCAGACAATGTACGAATCACCGTTGAAAAATTTTCCAACATCTTCCTGTGGTACGTCTTCAAGTTTGAATTGCTTTATGGGAAATAAATAGACAAAGAAATTACACAACCAGGGGCCTCTTTTAGAAAAAAAATGTCCTCATGTACTAAGAAGTCTTCGGAACTATCTACAATTTGACACCAACTGATCAAGAAAAGTCCTTAGTTTATCGAGAAATATAATGAGGAAGATTGGAAAATTGGCATCCCAATTCTGTTTAATCAGTCAAAATAACGGATGTTAATTTCATTACTCCACAGAACATGTGCACCAGTACTCTAAATGGACATTGACGAACGAACTGGGTATAAGAGGAGCAGTCTATCCTAGTATTTGTTAAATGGAATCTGGATATATGTTACAGTCCTTTGCGAGGTCATCACTTTTGGCAATTCAAATCTGTTAAGACTAGTTTATGGAATTTTATACAATAAACGGCCGCAGTATGCGCCTCGAACTGAGAAGTAGTGCTTGTAGGAAAAAACGATATTTTTTTAAACATTGAGGTTTACCTTAATTCGCCAGACGAAAAGGAACGGTTGAGTGGCTTTTCCCACCTTGTCCCAGTGCTTCTCTGTCATCGCGGACTCCTCTGTAAGAAAAAATAACAGCAAAGGGCGTAAGACTGGGCATAGAGGTCCTTCTATCACGAGAAATGCCTATACTGCAACAACTCATGCCACCTTCTTCTTCGATTTCATTTACATAAACGCTCTCTTTTGTGTTATACTGTTTTGTCTGCTTCAAAGGCTGACCGCGCTTGATCTTGTTTCCCATGCCTATTTAAGCAGCAACAGGCCGGCTTCGCCCTACACTAAAAGTCTAACTGGATAGGCAAGAAACTCTATATCTCAACACTTTATTCGCTAGAAACATCTGTGTTAAAACACACAATAAAACAACTTCAGATCATGAACACAGAACTAACCCAAAGACAGAAGGAGAAATTGATTTTTTCCTTACATCCAGTAGTTTTCTAGCTTCCTTCAGTAATTTCGACGTTAGACATTTCTAGCTCTTTTGCTCATGTGCTGTTCTGGTTCTTCAATTTACAGGCAAGACAGCTCGTAGGCCATACCACTTGAATCGCAAGGACTTGAGGCTTACAGACAAGAACGAGCTTTACTAGCAATCGGTACCCAGGAAAGGATGGGGCAAACACTTCACCTACACTCGTCAGCCGACCCAAGGACACGAGAGTTAGACCCAGAAACGATCACTTCAGCCATTCATTTAGGACAAATTAGTGACGGCCATTTTCATGGGACCACATACAGTTTATACCAGGTTTATATTGGGTCATAGATGTGTGGTAAAGAACTGTTATAATAATATCTTCAGAGTTTCTATAAGAAGATAGGTCATCACACCGGTGTCAAGATATCTTGTGACAAGTCATGTTTTATGGAAACATAATCTAGCTACTGACCGACTGATGGTTATGGTGACAAAATGAGGTGTAGCCTATTAGTCCAATATTCCGAAAGAAGTCTTATAAAGCATTTTGGTACCCAAGTAACTACCGCTAGGAATTAAGAACTGACGAAATGTCGGGTGAACCAGTGCTTTGCTGGTACTATCGAAACTTAGAACACGCACTTAGTCGCTGAAACAAGACCTCTCCTCCCACATAAGTGTGCAGAAATTAAATATCGAACTGCTAGGTTTGGCCAAGTGTCGTTCTACCTCCATAAATTAAACATTGGTTCAAGAACGCGTCACAAAACGTACAGGCTTAAAAGGTTCTAGAAGAGGATATAAAAACAGGCTTTCATGCGGAATAGTAACATTCAGGTCCGTAAAATGTAAATGCCTCACACAGACTGAGTGGA